GGTTGAGCGTTAGACTAGTACACCAGGTGTCCCTGGTTCGATTCCTAGCGAAGGCATTGAAATAAATAATGACCTCCGTTACATTGGCATCCATGTAGGGACCTGGGAATGTTATTAAGCCATGCCCCACCAGCATCACTGTAACGCCTGGAAACTCGAGGATGAGTTATATCCTAGAGGGGGAGTATGTAACCCTGGTAAAATATACCACTCGGCTAGAGAAGACTTCTCTTTAGCTTGATTGGTTGAGCGTCAGACTATTACGCCAGGTGTCCCGGGTTCAATTCCTAACGGAGGCATTGAAATAAATAATGACCTCTGTTACATCAATTATCACAGTAAATTTTGATGGTTTGCTATCACAACCTAACATCTGATAAATAATTATCAATGGTACTTTAGGTAGGTTCATGGCGGTTATACATGCGTCTGATACAAGTAATGAGGCTACATTCCTTTCTGGGGTAGGAGGAGGCTGGCTATCAATATTAGTATAGTAAAGAGGTATATATAGCTGTAAAGGTTTAATCCCTTTTGGGATTGTCAATTGTCAAACATCCGATGTAAATTAGTCGCAAGTAAGAATCCCAAATGGGATTACTGTAATGACTGTTCAACAGATTGTACTGGATCTTGTAAGTACTTTCTTATATGCCGGTGAATGTAGCTACTTCACATCTGAAATGTCTAAATATCAAACTGACAACTGATAGTTGTGCTAGTATAGCATTTGGTGGGTTAAGAGTCAAACTACGTTCTAATAATCCTGCCCAGTTTTTAAGGTTTCGAAGCAAACGACATTAATATATAAGCACATAGTAATATTTATATACAAACGTTTTAGAGATATGAAATCGCATCTAGTCTGTAACAAAAGCTCAAACGAATCGAATTTTTTGAAGATCTGACTATCAGATATGTTACTTAGAAATTTTTTTTTATAATTTCTATAAATACAAACCATCATGCATCTTTCATTTCGAGTTAACATGCAATTCATATACTACCATTAGAATGTGAAACAACATTTATCAAACAGGATGTGATGTACACGTAAACAAAGTATTTTTGTTCAAGAAAATACCTACCTCATCAGCAGCCATGCCGGAACCTTTCGAATGATGGTTTACGAACTTTCGGAACACCTCGCATATTTGTTTTATATATAAAATATGGCTGCGGACACGGATCGAAAATGAGAGCTGTTTACGGACACGTTTTTTTTTCTAAGAGGTGTTCGTAGCTACGTTATTTATTTCACATTGTTATGAATTTTCAAGAATTGAAACTCCGATTTTTTCAGTATGATTTCCTTTTGTTTTATTTTTGCATAGACCCACACTCAGACATCTGGGTCACCTTTGTGTAAGTGGTTGAAACAGTTTTTAAAAATTAAGAAAATACCAACATGGCAATATAATCATAATCCAAACTCAAATTCCATTAAACTAGGGCAAAATATGAACAAATGAATGATTTATGAGGCGATTCCTGAAAAAGTACAAGGAGAATAAGATCAGGTGTTCCAAAAGAGTAAGTGTCTTTCCCTTTCAAGAAAAATCCCAGCTACAGATCTGGACAGAGACTAGACTGTGGAATATTAGATACTTGCAGATTAGGGGTTTCAGTCGTACTTATCCAAAACTAACTTGCTGAATATCAGTAATTCTCAGAATTTCAGCAAGAAGCAGGATCGCTGCAGGCACATATTTCTGGAAGCAATATGCTTTAGTAAGAAATAAATGGATGTTATCTAATTTGTAGTTCTTTGCTTTATACCTGACAGGAAATTCTGAAACTGTGCATTCTGAGTAAGTTACATATATCAGTTCCAACATCTGGTACATGTGCATTCGTGTATCATGGAATAATTCCAGGCCACCTGAACCGTTTCAACCAGGTTACGCGAAATTGAAAGCGGCTCAAACATGTACAGTCTGTGTAATATAAATGTACATGTACATGTGTATGTTATAAACAATTATCATCATCATTGTTCTCATCAATACACCATCATGACATAAATAGTCATCAACAATATCATTTTGATTACATGAATTCACCATTATCCTAATAAAACTACACAATCATCATCATCAACACAATTATGCATTATAATTAAAGGCATCTCTACATCCTAACTTCATCCTAACCAAATCACAACATCCTCGCTAAATATATCCTCACATCTCATAATCTTTCAACATCAATTCATCATCATCAGCTGGAATTGGTTACAAAATCTTGAATATTGAAACACACACATTCACACCCCTCCAAACCCGCCTTATGCACATAGTGACCATACAAGTTGATGGCAGACAAAGATGCAGAAAAACAAAAGAGCAAAATGACTAGATAAAAAGAGAGAGATGTAAAACTTTCAGATCAAACAAGAAGAGAAAGGATGGGTCTGGCCCCAGTTTCTTGAATCTTCCTTAACTTAAGGGATTTTCCTGAACTTAAAATTCCCTATAGGAAATCATTACATAAAGAAATTTCCAGAAGTTAAAGTTTTCACTTAACTTACATAATACTTTTCTATGATAGCTCAGATTTCCTTAAGTTAAGCAAGATTTGTGAAACTGGGGCCAGCTTGTGAGCCCTGATATCATAATTCTTTCCCTGACATAGCCCAAAGGGCCAAGTGAGCTATTACCACACCGTCTGTCATCTGTCAACTTTTTCTACAAATCGCTACTTGTCATGAACGATTGAGCAGATTTTGACCAAATTTTGTCTAAAGCATCCTTAGGGGAAGTGGGGGGTGGAGTGGGGGAATTTGTATAAATGGTGGGTCTCGGCTCTCAGAGGCCTGAGGGGCATGTGTATTGAAACCTGAATAAAGTCACTAATTACATAATATACAACTGAAAGGAAAAAACATCTTACCACCAATAGTTTGGTAAGAGTGATCTCCCTTTACATGTTTTCCAATTACTAGAGATTTATAATCTAGACCAATTTTAGTCTCTGCATTGTATTGTAGTTGATCGTTCCTGAAAATCTTCAATTCTCTTGGCATGATCATGTATAATTTTTTGACAAATGTCCAGTTTCATCCAAAGAGCTTTTCACTTTTCACTTCAGCACGATGAAAATTGTAGTTATAGTGATCTCATTGACAAAATATCCTTTTTCTTCGAGCCTGTTCTCATTATCACAATTTTCATGCAAGAAGTCGTCAACTGATGGACAAACTCATTACACAGGATTTCAAAAGACGCAGCACAATGAAAATTGTAGTCATAGTGATTTCATTGAAATATATTCTATTTCTTTGAGTGACATAAAGCAGGCTATGCTTGATGCTCGTCAGTTTACCTCTTGGTTCCATTGTTGTATACCATATTCTCCTTTGAGAATGATATATTACTTACCTGAATTGACCAAGGTTAACATGGAGGGTGTCATCTATCAAGCAGAAGATGCTGCTTCTTCTGGAACATCTGGTCTTCTTCTTTTTTTTTTTTTACGCGTCTCCGTGTAAATTGATCGTTCATTCATATTTTGTTTAGTTTTATAGAATTTGAGCTTATATATTATGATTATGAATGATGGTATTTTCTTATTTTTGTTCAAAATAATCTTAAGGTCCTCTTTTTTTTTAATTTCAGTGATTCCAGTTTTTTGTTCCTGGGAGAGTCCTTACCCACAAATAACAGCATGATCCTTTATAAGGAGAATATATCAATTGTAGTATACTTTTTAGCATTTAAATACCTAGATATATGTAAACATCCTACAATGTCAAGCAGGGCCAGTTTTGATATATTTTTTACTTGATGTAAAGTTTTGACATGAGAATTTTGCGACAAAAACAATTTTAGTTGATTACTTCCCCATCCCTTTGATAGCCCTTGGTCCTGATACAAGTATCCTCCCTGTGTATCCTCTTCCAATATTTTTACAAGTATAATTAATAACATCTTGCTTTTGAAGTATCTCTGTGGATTCTTTGAGCTTGTTTATGTGTATGCACAGCAACATATAGTTTTCTCTCTATCAGTAATTGACAAGAAATTATCTAACAGAACTATTCAATAGCAGCTCTAAATCTGTCATTTATATTTAACAATAGTTAAAACAAAGTTACAATTCTAAATAATTTCAAAAATATTGTCACAATTGTTTAACTGATGCGAAAATGATGTTGAGAGATAGGTATCCATTTTGGATTTTGGACTCATATTGATTGTTTTAAGTATAAATATCTTTTTACATGTACTGAAGGAATAGATTGCTAGATTATCAATATCTAACAATGTTACCATGTGATAAATTCAACTGTCATAACAATATAATATTACTGAGATGAATAAGAGGGAAAGCATTCAACTTAATAACCTTGAACCTTTCAAGGTCATACAAAAGTGGCATTAAGATACCTCCAAGACCTCTTCAGGTTTTGTGGAGATTGAAGAGTTTGGAGGTTGATCCAACATATCAACTGACAGTCTAATTGATACAGCTATCTCTATGTTACCTACAGAATGAGTGTACCTATTGTGATCTACATTATATATAACAGCCTCATTATGAATCAGATCATGTTGCCAGAATGCCGACATTTATCGGTGAGACGATATCCAGACACAGGAAGAGTCATCGAGACAAAAAAACCTGTCTGTCAATCATAAATGAGATCAGGTGTTGAGTATTGGCTAGGGGACAATGCCTGGCAAGTTTCACTGGAATTAATTATATCTATCATTGTACGTATACAACTGGACACTCTCTGCTAATAACCTAAACCATAGCAACCTTTCTCATTAAGTAAGGTTACACAGAAGCCGAATCAGAAGCTATGAATTGTCGGTGAAATGAGTTCCACTCTACACACAATATGTAAGAACAGGTATTGGTCAATAGTATATATTGATATATAATTGATAATAGATATACATATACAAAATGATAAAACTCAAGACATCATCAGTATGGACAAGTTATGTTATTTCTGGATTACAACAATCACAAGACAAACGCAAAACATAAAATATATTGTTGATATTTTTTATTGATTGCAAATTTCAACAAATATGACCATTACAGACCTTTAATGCCCCGATGAATGTTAAACAGATCACAGGCTTGCTTTGATCATTCAGTACCTCATATTGGTATGATAGCACAGTACAATTAGGTAAGGAGTCAGTCAGTGTCTAGATTGATTGGTTGGATTCAGAATTAAGAAAATCAAAGAATAATAAAAGAAAGGATAGCATATGTTGATCTTTGGATTTTGAAAATGAGCCTCATGTACAGTAAATAGCTAGATCCCACACTTCCTGTGCAGTCAACAGCTAGATCCATACTTCCTGTGCTGTCAACAGCTAGATCCATAGTGATACTTCCTGTGCAGTCAACAGCTAGATCCATACTTCCTGTGCAGTAAACAGCTAGAACACACTTCCTGTCTTGTAGAACTTCTGCAGAGGGACATGCATCATCTCTATTAGATGACACAAGTTTGGCTCTGAAATGAATTAAACTATTAGATTAAGATTTTACACATCACTGAACACAACTAGTTATTAAAGTTTTGAACTGGAAAAACAGGTAAATTAAATTTACTCATTTAAAAATTTGTTTACATCTGAAAAATCCTAACATCCTTTTGTATAAACTAAATGTATGATTTACCAATGAAAAATCTATGTTTTTTCTTAAACTCATTACCAGGTGACCAGATCAAAGTGTACTCACCGTTATCTGTTGTGATCAGGCCGTGACGGATCAGGAAATCGACAATGACTAATGCACTATTGGGTTTGAACTCTTCACCAATTATCATTTCTTTTACCTGTAAATAATAAAACTGAAAGTTTTAAAATTGCTGTCTGTGCACTGTAACCCAATCACAGGTATCACAAGTATATCAGAATGAAATTAATGTTAGCTGGTCAAAGTTAGATGACAAGTGTCAATGTTAGCTGGTCTTAGTGTGATGTACAGTATTAATGTTAGCTGGTCTTAGTGTGATGTACAGTATGTTAGCTGGTCTTAGTGTGATGTACAATATGTTAGCTGGTCTTAGTGTGATGTACAGTATTAATGTTAGCTGGTCTTAGTGTGATGTACAATATGTTAGCTGGTCTTAGTGTGATGTACAGTATTAATGTTAGCTGGTCTAGTGTGATGTACAGTGTGTTAGCTGGTCTAGTGTGATGTACAGTGTGTTAGCTGGTCTAGTGTGATGTACAATATGTTAGCTGGTCTAGTGTGATGTACAGTATTAATGTTAGCTGGTCTTAGTGTGATGTACAGTATGTTAGCTGGTCTTAGTGTGATGTACAGTATGTGAGCTGGTCTAGTGTGATGTACAGTATGTTAGCTGGTCTAGTGTGATGTACAGTATTAATGTTAGCTGGTCTTAGTGTGATGTACAGTATGTTAGCTGGTCTTAGTGTGATGTACAGTATGTTAGCTGGTCTAGTGTGATGTACAGTATGTTAGCTGGTCTAGTGTGATGTACAGTATGTTAGCTGGTCTAGTGTGATGTACAGTATGTGAGCTGGTCTAGTGTGATGTAGTGTGTTAGCTGGTCTAGTGTGATGTACAGTATTAATGTTAGCTGGTCTTAGTGTGATGTACAATATGTTAGCTGGTCTTAGTGTGATGTACAGTATTAATGTTAGCTGGTCTAGTGTGATGTACAGTGTGTTAGCTGGTCTAGTGTGATGTACAGTGTGTTAGCTGGTCTAGTGTGATGTACAATATGTTAGCTGGTCTAGTGTGATGTACAGTATTAATGTTAGCTGGTCTTAGTGTGATGTACAATATGTTAGCTGGTCTTAGTGTGATGTACAGTATTAATGTTAGCTGGTCTTAGTGTGATGTACAGTATTAATGTTAGCTGGTCTTAGTGTGATGTACAGTATGTTAGCTGGTCTAGTGTGATGTACAGTATGTGAGCTGGTCTAGTGTGATGTAGTGTGTTAGCTGGTCTAGTGTGATGTACAGTATTAATGTTAGCTGGTCTTAGTGTGATGTACAATATTAATGTCAGCTGGTCTTAGTGTGATGTACAATATGTTAGCTGGTCTAGTGTGATGTACAGTATGTTAGCTGGTCTAGTGTGATGTACAGTAGGTTAGCTGGTCTTAGTGTGATGTACAGTATGTTAGCTGGTCTAGTGTGATGTACAGTATGTTAGCTGGTCTAGTGTGATGTACAGTGTGTTAGCTAGTCTAGTGTGATGTACAGTATGTTAGCTGGTCTAGTGTGATGTACAGTATGTTAGCTGGTCTTAGTGTGATGTACAGTATGTTAGTTGGTCTAGTGTGATGTACAATGTGTTAGCTGGTCTTAGTGTGATGTACAGTATGTTAGCTGGTCTAGTGTGATGTACAGTATGTTAGCTGGTCTAGTGTGATGTACAGTGTGTTAGCTGTCTATGTACTGTGATGTCTGGTCTAGTGTGATGTACAGTATGTGAGCTGGTCTAGTGTGATGTACAGTGTGTTAGCTGGTCTTAGTGTGATGTACAGTATGTTAGCTGGTCTAGTGTGATGTACAGTATGTTAGCTGGTCTAGTGTGATGTACAGTATGTTAGCTGGTCTAGTGTGATGTACAGTATGTTAGCTGGTCTAGTGTGATGTACAGTATGTTAGCTGGTCTTAGTGTGATGTACAGTATGTTAGCTGGTCTAGTGTGATGTACAGTGTGTTAGCTGGTCTTAGTGTGATGTACAGTATGTTAGCTGGTCTAGTGTGATGTACAGTATGTTAGCTGGTCTAGTGTGATGTACAGTGTGTTAGCTGGTCTTAGTGTGATGTACAGTATGTTAGCTGGTCTAGTGTGATGTACAGTATGTTAGCTGGTCTTAGTGTGATGTACAGTGTGTTAGCTAGTCTAGTGTGATGTACAGTATGTTAGCTGGTCTAGTGTGATGTACAGTATGTTAGCTGGTCTAGTGTGATGTACAGTATGTTAGCTGGTCTAGTGTGATGTACAGTATGTTAGCTGGTCTAGTGTGATGTACAGTATGTTAGCTGGTCTAGTGTGATGTACAGTATGTTAGCTGGTCTAGTGTGATGTACAGTATGTTAGCTGGTCTAGTGTGATGTACAGTATGTTAGCTGGTCTAGTGTGATGTACAGTATGTTAGCTGGTCTTAGTGTGATGTACAGTATGTTAGCTGGTCTTAGTGTGATGTACAGTATGTTAGCTGGTCTTTGTGTTATGTGTTAGCTGGTCTTAGTGTGATGTACAGTATGTTAGCTGGTCTAGTGTGATGTACAGTATGTTAGCTGGTCTAGTGTGATGTACAGTATGTTAGCTGGTCTAGTGTGATGTACAGTATGTTAGCTGGTCTAGTGTGATGTACAGTATGTTAGCTGGTCTTAGTGTGATGTACAGTATGTTAGCTGGTCTAGTGTGATGTACAGTATGTTAGCTGGTCTTAGTGTGATGTACAGTAGGTTAGCTGGTCTTAGTGTGATGTACAGTATGTTAGCTGGTCTAGTGTGATGTACAGTGTGTTAGCTGGTCTTAGTGTGATGTACAGTATGTTAGCTGGTCTAGTGTGATGTACAGTGTGTTAGCTGGTCTTAGTGTGATGTACAGTATGTTAGCTGGTCTTAGTGTGATGTACAGTATGTTAGCTGGTCTTAGTGTGATGTACAGTATGTTAGCTGGTCTAGTGTGATGTACAGTATGTTAGCTGGTCTAGTGTGATGTACAGTATGTTAGCTGGTCTAGTGTGATGTACAGTATGTTAGCTGGTCTTAGTGTGATGTACAGTATGTTAGCTGGTCTTAGTGTGATGTACAGTATGTTAGCTGGTCTAGTGTGATGTACAGTATGTTAGCTGGTCTAGTGTGATGTACAGTATGTTAGCTGGTCTAGTGTGATGTACAGTATGTTAGCTGGTCTAGTGTGATGTACAGTATGTTAGCTGGTCTAGTGTGATGTACAGTATGTTAGCTGGTCTAGTGTGATGTACAGTATGTTAGCTGGTCTAGCGTATTAAATAATACCTGGTCTTAGTTTTAGGATCATTACCTTTTCCATGGACATCAATTCAAAATGGCTGACTTCTCCGTCAGAGTTGACAGGTGTAAAGGTATCTGGTAACAGCATGTCAAATGTATACTCACACTCTGGGAAAAAACCACGTTCATCCTCATAGATGTAGCTAGAAATTACAAAAAAATTGTATACAGTAATGTCCTGGTGATGTAGTAAGTTAATGTGGGGATTTTAGTACCCCGACTCCATTATCTATTACTTTCATATATCTTGTACAAAATAGAATTTCAGCACAGAATAACTTGCACAGAAAATAATTGCATGTGTTTTCAAGCATTTGATTAAGCTGCATGTTGTGAAGATTATGATATCATTTAAGTTGGACTTAAAATTACTCACAATCATGCCAACAGACCAACACTGAAGATCTGTGAATTTTAAAGTAAGAAACTAAAAGACAAATATTTACTTCATTATAATGCACCTATGCTCAGCAAATACTTATAATGATTTTGATCAAATTTACATTCTGTCTGAAATGAAGTAAAACCAATATGTTCCAAGATTTTAATGCTTAAAAGCAATATTCGTCATGGTGCAACTTTCGTTTTTTTTTTTTTTTTTTTTTCTCTCTCTTTTATTTGCATGCAACTGACACTATTGATTTTTTTTGGGGGGGTTAACTTGTGTTGTACATGGGCTGGTCTTGCAAAGTTGTTATTTTCCCATTTTCCCATGTCTTCTGTTATCTATGATGTAGATACTTCTCTTCAGAGTTGATCCAATAATCTAGTACAATAATTTCCTCTTTAATACAGGACAAAATTAAATATTTTCTCAAAGATTGAATTTGGTAGACATGTTTTGTAATGATACGTATTACAACCATTATGAGAACAAAATTTTGTGCTAGATAACCATACATTGACTGGACTATATTAAATTTGAGAAAAATTCATCCAGTACTTTTCAAGAAAGCCAAAACAAGCTTTCATTGACATAATCCAAGATGGCAGCCTGGCAGCCATTTTTTTCAGCTGATCTGTTCAACAATCAAAAGAGCACGACTGGGAGCTAAATTGAACATTTGGAAATTTTTTGAAAGACCTAGTACCGGTAAGTCCTTCTCAAGAAATAGCTTTAGCAAGCAGACTGCTTAAAGACTAACAGTGGACAAAAGATGGACAGCCGACGATCAACAGACTGCACACACTTTGGGGTGATTTGATGATGGTCAATGAGAGAATACCTCACCTTATACAGCCAGTCTGGTTGAGTCCACTAAACAACTCCATAGGTACTGAAGCTTCTTCTTCGCACTCCTTAATAGCACATTCACGTACACCCAACCCAGAACTCAGACCTCCAGCACACTAAAAGTATACAACACCTCTCTATACACACCTCCAGTACACTATAAATATACAACATTTCCCCATACACACATCAAGTACATGATAAATATACAACATTTCCCTATACACACCTCCAGTACACTATAAATATACAACATTTCCCTACACACACCTCCCGTACACTATAAATATACAACATATCCCCATACACACCTCAAGTACACTATGAATATACAACCTTTCCCTACACCTTGGTTACACTATAAAATACATTTCTCTATACTTACCTGGAGTACACTAAAAAACTTTAGCTCCAATACACAGACAGACTGGTAGTTAAACAGACACAGACGGACATACAGACAAACACACCCCGACCGACAGACACAAAAAGGGATGCATAGTATCACCTGCTATTTGGGATGCCAACAACATCACACTATCTTACCATATTATCGAGAAGACCTGGATAGGTTTGCTTTGTCTTTGACCTCCGAGCTATCCACATCATTAGCTGGTCATTTTTACGACAATAACCGTTGATATGGACACCATATTGTACAGTTCCAAATAGTCCTGCAATCAATCACCGATATCTTTACTTAACATTTATTTATTTTCATTCATCAACATGATGTCTCACTCCAGTGCTTATCTTGCCAACATCAAATTAAGACCATCAATTAATTACTGAAACCCCTTATTATTCAATATATCCTTGACAACACGCCCCGTCTCTGCCAATACTGTCAATGTTTTACCAATGGCGTCTACCAGCAAATCCAGAAACGACCATGTTGATTTTTCCAGATTGACAAAAAGCAACCAAAATAGCACACATTGATAAAAGTATCATGTAGTCAATGGACCAATCAGCATTGTTGGAGGTCAGAGAGGAGAGATTGCAGCTTTAAAGACAGTTATACTATGGTGTGTAAACAAGACATCACAAATCATACAAACCCCATGTGTTTCCACTTTTACCTAGATCAAGAATATGGCCAACTGTGATTTTTTTTTTCAAAATAGTAAAAGTGGCCTTGACCTTGACCCTACAACCTTTAAAATCCAGCTTGTCTATAATAGTAAGGCTCTACAAATAGTAACAAAGACCTCAACCTTGACCCCTGAAATGAAATTTGAATTCAACCAAAGTATAACAGTATTCTATAACTGTTTGAAGTTTGATCCAAATTACTCAAAAAATGAAGCCTTGAGAGCTGACAAGGTAAAGTGTTACATATGTATGTACACATATATAGGTATGATACTTGTATGGGAAGTTTCCTTAGTACTTACCAGTACTAGAACGCTCTATGGCCAATAATGGGGCTTCAGCAAATGTTGTTCTAACATCATATAACTGGAGAGATATAAAATAAATAATTACTTCTTGATAGTAGATTCTGAAGACAGAAAGGGCACAGTGTTAGGGAACAGGAAGTACAGGAGGGCAACAAAATGCAGCAGAAACAGGAAAAACAGAAGGGCAACAGACACAGAAGAAACAGAAGGGCAACAGACACAGGAGAAACAGAGGGGCAACAGACACAGGAGAAACAGAGGGGCAACAGACACAAGAGAAACAGAGGGGCAACAGACACAGGAGAAACAGAGGGGCAACAGACACAGGAGAAACAGAGGGGCAACAGACACAGGAGAAACAGAGGGGCAACAGACACAGGAAGACATCAAAACTAAATTAATTCTTTAGTTTATATGCAAATCAAGAGGTCTTTGGTTTTCCATTCATTAAAGTGATATTCATCATACAGATCTACACAGGTATATATGGAAAACTATTACAAGTACTTCAACATTGCCAGCATTATAACAATGGAAAACCGCCGATACATATAACAAACATTTGAATACTAAAATCTGCTATTTGTTTCACCTCTGACAACTAAAGTCACATTTTGTCAGTTCTAACAACTACAGTCACATGTTGTCGGTTCTAACAACTACAGTCATATGTTGTCAGTTCTAACAACTACAGTCACATGTTGTCAGCTCTAACTACAGACCTATGTTGCCAGCCCTAACAACTACAGAATATGTTGTCAGCTCTAACAATTAGAGTCATATGTTGTCAGCTCTATCAACTACAGTCACAAGTTGTCACATCTATCAACTACAGTCACATGTTGTCAGCTCTATCAACTACAGTCACATGTTGTCAGCTCTATCAACTAAAGTCACATGTTGTCAGCTCTATCAACTACAGTCATATGTTGTCAGCTCTAACAACTAGTCATATGTTGTCAGTTACAAATAACTATAGTCACATGTTGTCAGCTCTAACAACTACAGTCACATGTTGTCAGTTCTAGCAACTACAGTCATATATTATCAGCTCTAACTATAGTCACATGTTGTCAGCTCTAACAACTTCAGTCACATGTTGTCAGCTCTAACAATTACAGTCACATGTTGTCACCTCTATCAACTACAGACATATGTTGTCAGTTCTAAGAACTACAGTCATATGTTGTCAGTTCTAACAACTACAGTCACATGTTGTCAGTTCTAACAACTACAGTCATATGTTGTCACCTCTATCAACTACAGTCACATGTTGTCACCTCTATCAACTACAGTCATATGTTGTCAGTTCTAACAACTACAGTCATATGTTGTCAGCTCTAACAACTACAGTCACATGTTGTCACCTCTATCAACTACAGTCATATGTTGTCAGTTCTAACAACTAGTCATTTGTCAGCTAACAACTGTCACATGTTGTCACCTCTATCAACTACAGACATATGTTGTCAGTTCTAACAACTATAGTCACATGTTGCCAGCTCTAACAACTTCAGTCACATGTTGTCACCTCTATAAACTACAGTCATATGTTGTCAGTTCTAACAACTACAGTCGTATGTTGTCACCTCTATCAACTACAGACATATGTTGTCAGTTCTAACAACTATAGTCACATGTTGTCAGCTCTAACAACTACAGTCACATGTTGTCGGCTCTATCAACTACAGTCATATGTTGTCAGTTCTAACAACTACAGTCACATGTTGTCAGTTCTAACAACTACAGTCATATGTTGTCAGCTCTGTAAACTACAGTCACATGTTGTCAGCTCTAACAACTTCAGTCACATGTTGTCACCTCTATCAACTACAGACATTTGTTGTCAGTTCTAACAACTTCAGTCACATGTTGTCAGCTCTAACAACTACAGTCATATGTTGTCAGCTCTATCAACTACAGTCACATGTTGTCACCTCTATAAACTACAGTCACATGTTGTCAGCTCTAACAACTACAGTCACATGTTGTCACCTCTATCAACTACAGACATTTGTTGTCAGTTCTAACAACTACAGTCATATGTTGTCAGCTCTAACAACTTCAGTCACATGTTGTCACCTCTATCAACTACAGTCACATTTGTTGTCAGTTCTAACAACTACAGTCACATGTTGTCGGCTCTAACAACTACAGACATATGTTGTCAGCTCTAACAACTACAGTCATATGTTGTCAGTTCCAAATAACTATAGTCATATGTTGTCAGCTCTAACAACTAAAGTCACATGTTTTCAGTTCTAACAACTACAGTCATATGTTGCCAGCATCAATGACAAAAGTTGTTTGTTGTTTTTGGTATCAAGAATGACCAACTAGTGTCTTTGCTACGACTACAATCAAATGGTGACAAAAGCAAAGTACCATCACATTGAAATGCCTTAATATGCCACCATCATGGAATCTTAACATTTTTTAATGAGTTCTTGAAAGACAATATATCTGAAATCTTATTGTGAAAGCGACATTTCATTTTCTATCGAGAGAGAAATTCACACCAATTCAATTTATCTATAACATGAGTGCCCACCTCATCCCTCCATCCTTTCAGACATACAAAAACATCTTTTTGACGTAGGTCCGCTAACACGGTAGCGACAGCATCTGTCCTTTCATTTACCGTCTTATAAATGTCTTTTATGGCCAGACTACTTCCTGATTCTTCAGATCCCGACACAGTAAATACATCTGGATAATCGATGAGGTGTTTCCAAACATTCCGAGGAATCAGACCAACCTGACTACCTCCAACACAGAAAGGATGGTATTCACTTTGAGAGGACCCTGTGGGAAAAACATCAAAATATACATACTACATGCTGTTGTGTGTCATGAAGAACCTTAAATATCAAATCTGTGATGGTCACCTGTTGGCCATTTTTTCGTCTGATCAGTCCCCAAATCAACTACAGATTCAAGGAAACCTACATCAGAAGTTAAAAAAACTCACAAGTACTTACAAAAAAAAAAAACAGAAGAATCAATATTTCATTATATTAATATCTAAGTTGGCCACATCTCAGCAATTTTATTTTTTCTACCAGTCCTGATATCAAAAATTTCTGTAACACCCTACATGACATTTTTATTACTCCATTCCAAGGCCTAACACCCAACAGGACACTGTTATCACTATCAAAGTGAGATCAGCCGAGGATAATTTCTTGTAGATTATATTGGTCTATATCATCATAAAATCTGCCTCCGTCTCAGTGCATATCTCTATATAATGTGAAATAGGCACTGCCTAAAAGCAAGCACAAGTTTATCAAGAATCAGGATTTTCATTCAGAACTCATAGCTTCGTTGAAGCTAAATAAAATACAAAGTAATACATTTTCTTATTGTTTTGGTATTATATGATGTGTGTGTGAGTGTGTGTGTGTGTGATTAGCCATACTTTTTTGCGTCTATAAACAGTAAAACAACACAGACATTCCATGTTGTTAGACCGTCGATATGATAAAGGCCTACTATGGTTGTCACTGACTGTTGTGAGTGATATCAGAGTTAAAATATACGTAGAAGCCGTATAAGATGGTTTTAATGATATTTAGGGTTAGCAGGGCCCTTGTCACATGGCCACGATACATGTGCCAAGCTTGTTATAGACTTAGCAGTGATACAGAAAGTGAAAGTACATGCAATTGTGCAATATCGTAATATTTCACCAGTGAGTGTCTGTAGCTCAAACACTTAGTTCGCAACAACGTACCTGACACTGTGAAGGAATTGCAGGTGTCTGTCAGCTTCAACAAGGCCCTCGAAAACTTCCCGAGAACTGCCCCAGCTGCCATAATGTGTACTAAAGCATTGGTTGAGTCACCGCAAAACGGAACGCGGAACGGAAGGAAATATAAAAAGCAAAAGTTCCTGTTTGTAACACAACTTTGTCTTCGTCTTCTCTAGAAATAAAAGTTTTAATTGCTACTGCAGGAAATAATATGATGAATTATAATTATTTTTCGATATCCTTACGAAAATACGCAGGGAAATTTGTAAAATTATTAATTGAATTAGCATCTGATTTCTCTACTTACTAAATTTGGACAATGAAAATCAGACAATGCCAAGTCTTAAATCTAAAAAATCCACTTTGATTGTCCACATGCCAAAAGCTAACCATGTTTTCATGTTCAATTATGATCTTTAAACACTTTTTTATAAATAAATATATATATCTATATATTTTCATATATATTTTTTTTTTTTCATTTTTTATTTTCATGCAATTATAGGGTGAATGTTCCAACAAGATATTTACTTCCATTCAACAGTATTTGTGTTTGTTGTAGAAAATTTTATAGTATTGATTCATTTTTCCAGACAATCTGGTTGTACGGTGCAGAAAACAATATGTAGATATTGGAGGAGTAAATCTGAATGAACGCTTGATGGAGGAAATGAGATATGTTTGGAATAGCATGGAACAAGGAAATTTCCCCGATATCATTAGAGACTTGTATCAACATATAAATAAATAAAATAAACACATAAATATTTTTTTAAAATCCACATAAATCAATTAAATAATCACATAAATAAAAAAACACTTAAATTAATAAAATAAACATATAAATAAATAAATAAAAATATCAGTAAATTAGATATTTGGCCCAAAATCTATTTGAAGCTACGACAGTTTTCCTATGGTTAACATATGTAAACGTAACTCTTACTTTGTCTCACAATATCATCCCAAGCATATATATTGTATAGATTGTCTCACATATGTTTAAAATGAATATGTCATTCCCAAAATGCCTGGTAATTGTAAGGTTGAAAAAATAATTATTCCCAAATTCAAGTCAGGGATTGTTTGTGTCGACACGTCAGGTCAGGAATGGTTTGTGTTGACACATCAGGTAAAGGAAGGTTTGTGTTGACACATCAGGTCAGGGATGGTTTGTGTTGACACATCAGGTCAAGGATTGTTTGGGTTGACACATCAGGTCAGGGATGGTTTGTGTCAACATATCAGTTTAGGGATGGTTTTTGTTGACACATCAGGTAAGGGATGTTTGTGTTGACACATCAGGTCAGGGATTGTTAGTGTTGACACATCAGGTCAGTGATGTTTATGTTGACACATGGAGTCAGTAATGACTCGTTTTGACATACTATTATCTCAAAATATCATCCTCAACATATCTAAACCTAACTGTTATTATATTGTCTCACAATATCATCCTTTGTTGTTTTTGTCTGGACCCAGTTTTCTGACTTTATAGAGTGCATCAGGTAAGGGATATTTGTGTTGACACATCAGGTCAGGCATGGTTTGTGATGACATGTCAGGTTTGGGATTGTTTGTGTTGATATGTCAGGTCAGGGATTGTGTTGACACATCAGGTCAATGTTGATTTGTGTTGACACATCAGGTCAGGGATTTTGTTTCGACAGATTGAGTCAGCAATGGCTTGTTTTGACATACTAGGCGAGTGCTGGTTTGTGTAGTTGACACATCAGTATAACAATCGTTCATGTTGATATATTAGGTAAGCAGTACATAGATTCAACTAGGTCTTCATGTTTTATCATTAATTCTATAATGTTTCAGCGAGATGTTTTTTCTCAATATATGTAACACTTTTTCTGATTTCCATCAGATGATAGAAAGCACAACCGATTGGATGGGAAAAAAAACGCCACCATTCCATAAACAAACAACAACGCCAAATTCTTAGTTGTAAATATATATATTTCAATAGTCTTTTTGTGAATAGTATATATACACAAACAGTATAAACAAAAATCAATATAAACATGCACTACAACAGTCAATAGACTTATGTATACACATCTTCAAAAATCAGAAACTGATTATACTATCATTTTGAATGTCCATTCATACACTTAACATTCAGTTTGATATCGAGGTGAATCTCCTTACATATCCAGGCCTCGGGATAGGTGTTCCTAAAATTATCAATTTTTGTTTCAGGTAATTTTAACCCTGCTAGGTGCAATTCATCTCTTGACTGAAGAGATCATTTTAGCCCTATCAGTTGAGCATAAGACTAATAAAGCAGATGTCATGGGTTCAATTTCTAATGAAGGCATGAAAATCATGACCTCTGTAACATCTACAGCATTCCTGCTCTGATTTCATGTATCATATATACAGGCCCCATTGACCAATGTCAGACTTGGTTAGCAAGCCGCATTGACCAATGTCAGTCTAGGTTAGCAGGCCCCATTGACCAATGTCAGTCTAGGTTAGCAGGCCCCATTGATCAATGTCAGTCTTGGTTAGCAGACCCCATTGACCAATGTCAGACTTGTTTAGCAGGCCCCATTGACCAATGTCAGTCTTGGTTAGCAGGCCCCATTGACCAATGTCAGTCTTGGTTAGCAGGCCTCACTGGCCAGTGTCAGACTTGGTTAGCAGGCCTCACTAGCCAGTGTCAGACTTGGTTAGCAGGCCTCAATGGCCAGTGTCAGACTTGGTTAGCAGGACCCACTGACAAACGTTAGACTTACTAAGCGAGCCTCACTGACCAATGTTAGACTCAGTTAGCAGGCCGCTGACTTACAGTGCCAGGCTTAACTAGCAGGTTTCCAGCAGACCAATGTCAGACTGGGCTAACAGGCCCCTCATCATGTTTATTGTAGGTCAAATATTGGAAACAACTTAACTGTACAAATCATGTGTTTCTCCTATCTTTGTGTGTATACAAATAAAATTATAAGAGAATAAAAATTTTTGCATCCTATCAAAAAGGCACCTATCTTTCCTACAGTATCACTTTTATCTTCTCCTAGCACAACATCCATTACATTTTTAATTGAAGATGGTTAAATAAAGAAATGATTTTTAATAATAACGATTCTTTCATAATTTTCTTCCTTTTTGTCTTCGTTTCTTAAATGTTTTTTTTTTTTTGTTCTTTCAGAATTTTTTTTTAATTCTGATTTCTCATTCTTCAAAGAATCATAGAGTATATTAAAACTTGTTTTCATAATTCCCCTTAACCTGAATGTTCTGAAAATACAAAACACATAAGACTCCTCTTTAACATTTATACCAGATTTACTTAAAATTTACTTTCTTTCAAATTTTTTTAAAATTTTGGTATTTACAATATTCCAGATCATTTACGCATGAGTTTTAGTCATCTCACATGTCAGATCATATACGTAAGGACAGATGGAATGTGAATGAAAGCTTGCATACAAACAAATCACAGAAGGGCAATGGTAGCGATAGAGAGTTGCGATTTCAGCCTAACAATGTTTATACAGTCTACCAGCTTAGTGACAATCTCCGATTCAGAGACTGACTTTTGGCCTCACAAGGTAAAATCTAGTGTTGCTGTAGTCTTATATATGTTACAAAGTGGTGTGAATTCCTAAACATGATTAAAAAGCTATGATTTTTGTCTTCCAGGGCTAAACTGAATTTTCTAATTCAATTCCAAATTCATTTGGTAATATCTACTCAGAATGTTTGCCTCATAAATCTGTAACAACATTAACTAGGGAGATATATGAATCAAGAATCACCTTCATTTTTTTTTTTTTTTTTTTTTTTTTTTTTTTTTTTTTTAATAGAGTAGCTACCATACAACATATAACGTAGCATATGGCATTTCAAGAATTCAAAAAAACTTAAATATTTGAATACTACAAGAAATCAACTTTCACCAAAAACAAGGCTTCTTTGTTCTAACTCTTTATTATCTGTGGGAAGATTACTGCATAACCAGCTCTGAAGCAATAGTAAAACAATTTAGTACCAGAAACTGTACTGTACAAATTCTGAAACATAGAATGTAAATTTCTTTTCTCTTGTAGGTAGACCAGACAGTAGAACATCATATATAGCTTATATTGATTGTAATGCCCGTTTAAACACATATGAGACAATGAATTACTTGTTACCAATAATAGCTTAAAGACTCTACAAAATGTGAGCAGTTATCTCCCTTTATCTTTGGGTTCCATATTAGCAAAGTGACTTTTTGGCTATAACTGTCTTGTGAATTTATCAACTGAAACTTTGTTTTTTTATCGTGAACATACTTGGCACCTGTTATGTCAGGTATATGTAAAACTGTCCAGCAATATTTGACCATGTACAAAATCATGTGCATGGTGTAAAAAAAAAACATTTTGGGACAACAATACTTTGTATATAAAGACTTGACAAAAACTAAATTTGGCATATTTTTACAATATTCTATATAAACTAAGAGAGAAAAGATATACAGATATATTCTAATAGATCCAATCTTTTGCTGTGATCAGTCCTGGCACACAATATAGTGACTCTATCAACAGACTATGAATCACTACAGATCAAATTTCACATTGTATCAGTAAATTTAAATTTTCAAAGAAAAAAAAAGTAGTTTACCAGGTACATGAAAATCAAATTAACATGTATATGCGATGACAGGTACATGTCAAGAACTTTGAGACCTTCTTTGGGTTAAAAATAGTCACAACAAATAGTCATGTTTTATTCTCTCCTCAATTACAGCTGGTTATACATGTATATGATTACAATGTTAGTACATGTTTAGTTCACTACAGCTAAATAACATATAAGTCATTCAGAGCCTAAGGTTATCAGTGACTCATTTCTATGGTGTTTTTTTTTTAACAATTTATAATCAAATTCATAGGTTTAACTATTAAAGTACGATATTACTTGTTCAAGTCAAACTCACACAGAACATACAGCTAGGAAAGCAGTGCGATTTCCTACACATTCTCCTAGCCATGGTTACAAAGCACTTACAGTTAACATCCAGAATTCAATAGTTATCAATTATATTGAGCTTACAAGATGGATGGTATTAGAAGTAAACAAATGATTCTAGTCAACAATCGCAACAAATAATAGTCAGTAATATTGTTTGTGATATTAAGGCAATCTTTTATAGTTTGAGTCTCCAATAACACCAAACATCTACACTGGGTAAAACACTGGGTGAACGCTCTTAATGACCAACAACAAATAATTGGTTCTTACTACTGACCATTTTAGTTAATACTGCAACATACAGATGTCACTATATCCAGTTACCATGGTAACAATCTGATGTTACTATTTATCTAGTAACTATGGTAACAGAAATGAATGTTAATGAAGAGTGTAACACGAAAAGATTGCCATCACAATTAGTATAAGGCAAGATAATGTTATATAATTTATAATTAAATATATCTATACATGTATATAAGTGGCTGAACCCCATCAATATCACAGTTACTGAACATATGTATACAAAGGCAAACTTAAAACGCAGTACATGTGTATACTATATAGTATATAACGTATATCTGATAATCATCATTAATAAAGTCATGATTCCGAGAAAAATCCAGCATAAAGAATGGACATGTATTAGATTAAGTCAGAAACCATATAGACATAGCAAAGGATGTACAGTGAAGACAACAGGGTAACAAAATACAGAAACAAGGAACAATCAAATATTTGATCATCAGTTAGCGACTTTCAGCCACCAGTTAGCGACTTTTGATCACCAGTTAGCAACTTTTCATCACCAGTTAGCGACTTTTAATTGCCAGTTAGCAACTTTTGATCACAAGTTAGCGACTTTTGGTCACCAGTTAGTGACTTTTCTTCACCAGTTAGTGACTTTTGATCACCAGTTAGCGACTTTTGATCATCAGTTAGCGACTTGATCATCAGTGTGTGACTTTCAGTCCCCAGTAAGTGACTTTTCATCACCAGTTAGCGACTTTTAATCACCAGTTGGCAATTTTTTATCACCAGTTAGCGACTTTTAATCGCCAGTTTGCAACTTTTGATCACCAGTTAGCGACTTTTTGATCACCAGTTAGCGACTTTTGTTCACCAGTTAGCGACTTTTAATCACCACCTAGCGACTTTTGATCACTGGTTAGCAACTTTTGTTCACCAGTTAGCGACTTTTGATCACTGGTTAGCAACTTTTGTTCACCAGTTAGCGACTTTTAAATCACCACTTAGTGACTTTGATCACCAGTGAAAGACTTTTATGATCATCAATTAGCGACTTCTTCACATAAAAAAGCTTGGAAAGAAAGATAAGGTCATTCGACTTGCTATTATCAGAGACAACAGAATTGTACAAGTAAGGGACAAGATATTATGATACATTATGAGTTGTCATGATAGGATCCTTGAACAAACTAGGGTAAGTACAACATATGTATCAGTAACTCAGTAGTGTAATATGTAACATTTCCACCGGAGGCCATCCAGGGGACATCACTGACACTTGTGACATCAGTAGCTAGCTAGAGGATAGGTGTTACGTGATGATCATCATAATAAATTTTAATGGATTTTAATAATAGGCCAAATTTATCACCTCTAATGAAATTTAAACGATAAAATTGACGAAAATTCATTAGAATTGGAATTACAGCCACATGATGTCTACAAACTCCTCCATTAATCCTTTTCAGACATTACTGTAATAAAGACAGAATGATGGATGGTTTCTTTACATCATTACAAGACTATTTAAAAAATGGTCTTCTAAGTTTAAGAGGTAGAATGTGAAGTAACACAGTGTGCCACAAATCTCAATTAACTTTATACTTGATCCATCCATCCATATGAAATGTATTTGTTTGATAACTGATCTTCTGTAGAATGTTTTCACACCTAGAACACATTGCTGTTCCTTTGATACATCATTGTTTGGCAACATGTCAATTGTTACTACTAAAGTTGAGTTTAACACATGTTTATGAGAAAGTTGAAACATAATTAAATGAAATGCATAGTTCTCCATTTCCATGAAGGCTACAGTAGGGACTTTGATAGAAAACATAGAAAAGTTGGTTACAAATGATTCACTATCATGTCATTTAGCCAGGACGTCTGGTATCACAATGGAAACATACAAATCAAGCATCAAGGTGACTTGATCATGTATATTCAAACTTCCAGATGATCCTGAACCAGAGAATCTCAACCTCCAAAAGCTTAAGGATGTCCAAATTAGGAAACGATAAAAGCACATGACGTGTCCTTGGTTACATGCCTAGATGTCACTAGTGCTATAAGTCTACTGTCTGGTGACGTTTCATATGTAATGCTAAATGGTCCGAACGTGAAAAACACCGCTCACACACTTTACATCGGAATGGTTTTGAACCTGTATGTTTACGATAATGTCGTGTGAGCTCGTCAGAGCGTGCAAATCTCCAGTCACAGCCTTCCCAAGTACACTTATAGGGCTTCTCACCTGCAAGACAGAAACATGATAATCAAACACCATTCAATTTACTGTGGCATCCTGCATATGTCTATGAACACCTCAAACAAATGTTTTAAAGTTTTCTACTACAAAGATTCTACCTCAACAATCATCATGCAGTGACACATTTTATTTTTTTTCTAACCCGAAAATTATATCATGAACAAATAATTGTTACAATCAACAAATAGAGTTTTCTTTATCTTCTGAATACTGAGAAACCTATATATATATATATATATATAGAGAGAGAGCAGTGCCGATGACGGGATATCCACGCCACATATATTTTTGCTGTATTCAGCAGTGACGGAAAACAGTTGTTTTTCGGTACATGTGGTAAGTTCACAGAATTACTTTCTTAATTTGCTTTATAATTGCGTTTATTAATATGAATTTCTGATGAAGTGATTTTATATGTAGTAATGAATAAGTTTATTGACTAAAAAACTGCTGAAGTTCTGATTAATTTTCAATCAAAGTTGCAGGATAAATAGAAAACATGGTCAGTGTCTTCATATATAAGCTGCATTTTGGCTCAGGATAGAAATTTTGATTTAAACAATATTTTAAGACACTGACCATATATTCTCTATCTATAATGCTTTATATAAACATAATATTGTTATTATTCTATAAACATCTGACAGAAATATAGACACAGTAATCTAAGTTTTCTGGCCGAAGAGAGTGAGTGTTGATTGACGTCAGATAATCACAATCAGCATACTGAGTTGATGATAACTATCTAATTAAATGTATAACACCTGAGATGATTTAAGTGACATACCTGTGTGTGTTCGTAAATGTGCTTTGAGATGTGAACTTTTAGTATAGACTTTTTTACATCCGTTATAAGGACATTTGTGATTTCTACGCCGAAGGTCAGGACTGACTTCAGGACGTATCCGTCCATTTACAGGAAGTGGTGGACGTTGCTGAGGTTGCGCAGTGTACGGACGCATTCGACCATTAGGACCAGCTACATATGCAATACGCTGGTGGCGATTTATCATATCAGCAGAGTTCAATCTTACAGCCACAGTAGTAGTTCGACCTGGTTGAGCAACAAGTCTAAGGGCAAAAGGGTCATTTGATTTTGGTATTATGGGAGACAATGGAGGGTCACCATTGTTGCTATCCCATGATACACCACTAGACGCTGAACTAAAACTGTGTAAACTAATTGTGTCAGATGGTTGATCATTCAAATTTAAATGTGCTGCTAATTCTTCCAATTTAGCTTCTGTTTCATCTTCATCATAATCCTCATCATCCTCATCTTCATCATCATCATTTTCATCATCTTCCTCTTGTTGATAAAGAGGTTCTGGGATCTCGGACTCCTCCTCCTCTTCCTTGTATTCTATTTTTATACTGTTTGGACTGAGGAATTTGTCTGGAGGCGGAGATCCAGACAAAGCGTTACCAGGGTAACATCCTTCCCATGGGACTCCTCCTGATCCCTTACTGATTTTTTTGAAAGATGTCAGTTTTGGTTCACTCTTGAGGTAACGCTCCATTTCAAGGCAGTTCTATAATGACAAAAAAAGGTGAACAGCATTAGAATAGTATAGACAAAAGCCTCAAGGTCAGCACAACATTATTGATATGAAAAACAGGTAGGTATCACATACAAATATATTTTCACATAGAATAGCTTCAAATTCATATAGGAAGACCTTTAAAGGTCTCAAAAACCAATTATAGAATATCACTCTTTATTGATTCATATGTAACATATTTTTATACAACACAAGACAAGTCTGTCTTTTGGATTTGATAGTGGTATATTGTTAAGAGTTACTTCCCTTTTCCCATGAGGTGTAAAAAACTAACATGTATTAATATATATATAGATATATGTAACAGCTGAGAATACCACAATATCCTGCCTTCTAATTAGTTTTATTAAAGAAAAGAGCAACCTAAGGCAGATTCTATCAACTAAAATATAAGCTGATGGTGTAAGTCTCCCTGGAGCCACAATTATCAGTCGGTTTACACGAGTCTCTCTGGAGCCACAAATCATTGACTGATGGTGTGAGTCTCCATGATGTCAGAAATCGTCAGTCGATTGCGCAAGTCTCTCTTGAGCCAAAAATTATCAGCTGATAGTGTGAGTCGCCACTGAGTCACAAATTACCAGCTGATGGCTTGAGTCTTTGCAGAGCCACAAGTTATCAGTGATGACTTTGAGTCTCCATAGAGCCACACATTATCAGCTGATGGCGTGAGTCTCCATAGAGCCACACATGATCAGCTGATGGCTTTGAGTCTTCCTGGAGCCACAAATGATCAGCTGATGGCTTTGAGTCTTCCTGGAGCCAGAAATTATCAGCTGATGGCAGAAGTCTTCCTTGAGACACAATATCAGCTGACAGTTTTAAGTCTCCCTGTAGCCACAAAAGCAGCTGACAGTGCGACTTTCCCACAATATCAGCTGATGATGTGAGTCAACACCATGAAGATACCAGCAGTATGTAGATAAAATAATTATATTGATCTTCCCTGGATGATAATAAATCATAATGATACATAAAAGTGTAGTATACCTACTAAGGCCTGTTTCTGTCTAAACGTCTTCAAATTAGTACAGGAATAAGGATTTTATGGTCTGTATATATATATATAGGTCAGTGCCAGTATAGACCATGTATAGCCACAGTTACGATATCTCTACAGACATTATACAGCCACAGTTACGATATCTCTATAGACAGTGTACAGCCACAGTTACGATGTCTCTACAGACAGTGTACAGCCACAGTTACGATATCTCTATAGACAGTGTACAGCCACAGTTATGATATCTCTATAGACATTGTACAGCCACAGTTACGATATCTATATAGACAGTGTACAGCCACAGTTACATGTACAGCCACAGTTACGATATCTATATAGACATTGTACAGCCACAGTTACGATATCTATATATACAGTGTACAGCCACAGTTACATGTACAGCCACAGTTATGATATCTCTACAGACAGTGTACAGCCAGTTACGATATCTATATAGACAGTGTACAGCCACAGTTACATGTACAGCCACAGTTACGATATCTATATAGACAGTGTACAGCCACAGTTACGATATCTCTATAGACAGTGTACAGCCACAGTTACGATATCTCTACAGACAGTGTACAGCAACAGTTACGATATCTATATAGACAGTGTACAGCCACAGTTACGATATCTCTATAGACAGTATACAGCCACAGTTACGATATCTCTATAGACAGTGTACAGCCACAGTTACGATATCTATATAGACAGTGTACAGCCACAGTTACATGTACAGCCACAGTTACGATATCTATATAGACAGTGTACAGCCACAGTTACATGTACAGCCACAGTTACGATATCTATATAGACATTGTACAGCCACAGTTACGATATCTATATAGACAGTGTACAGCCACAGTTACGATATCTCTATAGACAGTGTACACAGTTACATGTACAGCCACAGTTACAGCAACAGTTACATGTATATCTCTAAAGACAGTGTACAGTTACGTACAGCCAGCAACAGTTACGATATCTATATAGACAGTGTACAGCCACAGTTACGATATCTCTATAGACATTATACAGCCACAGTTACGATATCTCTATAGACAGTATACAGCCACAGTTACGATATCTCTATAGACAGTCTACAGCAACAGTTACAATGGGAACATTGACCCTGATTCACTGGCTATCAGTGTGGTATACATAATCATCAGAGTTATTGTCCCTGACAAGATTTTTATTATTGTCTGTCATAAATCTTCTTTCCTTTAACAAATCAGAATCAGCTAATTTTGACAAAAGAAAAACAATAATCACAAAAGCCAACGTTTCTTACATCAGCCATAAACAACCCCACATACAGCCATATATGGCAGGCACATACATGTATATTTCATCATGAACGACATCCAAAGAGTGCAGAACAAAACCCCAAATCAATAACTGTCCACAGTACTGCGTATCGTATACATATTAATGACGGCTGGTGTCTTGTTTCATAGTACCATATTCTTCTTAATGAGTACTGTTATCTTCCCAAGTATAATATACTGTAAAAATCTTAATGGGTACTTGTATCTCCTATCATCATACGTACAGACTGAATACTGTGTAAGTCTTAATGGATACTTGTATCTTGTATCATCATACATACAGACTGAATACTGTAAAAATCTTAATGGGTACTTGTATCTCCTATCATCATACATACAGACTGAATACTGTGTAAGTCTTAATGGGTACTTGTATCTTGTATCATCATACATACAGACTGAATACTGTAAAAATCTTAATGGGTACTTGTATCTCCTATCATCATACATACAGACTGAATACTGTGTAAGTCTTAATGGATACTTGTATCTTAAACCATCAAACACAGACTGAATATTGTGTAAGTCTTAATGGGTACTTGTATCTTAAACCATCAAAAACAGACTGAATACTGTGTAAGTCTTAATGGATACTTGTATCTTAAACCATCAAACACAGACTGAATACTGTGTAAGTCTTAATGGATACTTGTATCTTAAACCATCAAACACAGACTGAATACTGTGTAAGTCTTAATGGGTACTTGTATCTTAAACCATCAAAAACAGACTGAATACTGTGTAAGTCTTAATGGATACTTGTATCTTAAACCATCAAACACAGACTGAATACTGTGTAAGTCTTAATGGGTACTTGTATCTTAAACTATCAAACACTGACTGAGTATTGTATAAATCTTAATGTGTATTTATGTCCTTCATCATCAGTGGTTCGTTAATAAAGAAAAGTTGAAAGCAGCCCAGTTTTTCACTAACTTGGCAAATTAAAAATGTCTCAGTATTTCATTAACCTGGGAATCTGAAAGTGATTCTGATCGTGCATTAACCAAGAATTTTTGACTGGAGAAGTTGAGTGTCCCAGTAATTTGTTAACTGGAGAATTTGAGTGTCCCAGTAATTTGTTAACTGGAGAATTTGAGTGTCCCAGTAATTTGTTAACTGGAGAATTTGAGTGTCCCAGTAATTTGTTAACTGGAGAATTTGAGTGTCCCAGTAATTTGTTAACTGGAGTATTTGAGTGTCCCAGTAATTTGTTAACTGGAGAAGTTGAGTGTCCCAGTAATTTGTTAACTGGAGTATTTGAGTGTCCCAGTAATTTGTTAACTGGAGAATTTGAGTGTCCCAGTAATTTGTTAACTGGAGAATTTGAGTGTCCCCGTAATTTGTGAACTGGAGAAGTTGAGTGTCCCAGTAATTTGTTAACTGGAGACGTTGAGTGTCCCAGTAATTTGTTAACTGGAGAAGTTGAGTGTCCCAGTAATTTGTTAACTGGAGAATTTGAGTGTCCCAGTAATTTGTGAACTGGAGAAGTTGAGTGTCCCAGTAATTTGTGAACTGGAGAAGTTGAGTGTCCCAGTAATTTGTGAACTGGAGAATTTGAGTGTCCCAGTAATTTGTTAACTGGAGAATTTGAGTGTCCCAGTAATTTGTTAACTGGAGAATTTGAGTGTCCCAGTAATTTGTTAACTGGAGAAGTTGAGTGTCCCAGTAATTTGTTAACTGGAGAATTTGAGTGTCCCAGTAATTTGTTAACTGGAGTATTTGAGTGTCCCAGTAATTTGTGAACTGGAGAATTTGAGTGTCCCAGTAATTTGTTAACTGGAGAATTTGAGTGTCCCAGTAATTTGTGAACTGGAGAATTTGAGTGTCCCAGTAATTTGTGAACTGGAGAATTTGAGTGTCCCAGTAATTTGTGAACTGGAGAATTTGAGTGTCCCAGTAATTTGTGAACTGGAGAATTTGAGTGTCCCAGTAATTTGTTAACTGGAGAATTTGAGTGTCCCAGTACTTTGTTAACTGGATTGTTAACTGGAGAAGTTGAGTGTCCCAGTAATTTGTGAACTGGAGAATTTGAGTGTCCCAGTAATTTGTTAACTGGAGAAGTTGAGTGTCCCAGTAATTTGTTAACTGGAGAATTTGAGTGTCCCAGTACTTTGTTAACTGGATTGTTAACTGGAGAAGTTGAGTGTCCCAGTAATTTGTTAACTGGAGAATTTGAGTGTCCCAGTAATTTGTTAACTGGAGAAGTTGAGTGTCCCCGTAATTTGTGAACTGGAGAATTTGAGTGTCCCAGTAATTTGTTAACTGGAGAATTTGAGTGTCCCAGTAATTTGTTAACTGGAGAATTTGAGTGTCCCAGTAATTTGTTAACTGGAGAAGTTGAGTGTCCCAGTAATTTGTTAACTGGAGAATTTGAGTGTCCCAGTAATTTGTTAACTGGAGACGTTGAGTGTCCCAGTAATTTGTTAACTGGAGAATTTGAGTGTCCCAGTAATTTGTTAACTGGAGTAGTTGAGTGTGTCTTAGTAGTTATCAATAAAGATCAGCCTATTACCATATACATGAATAGGTCAGGTCACCCTAAAAGTATACATCACTGAAGTAGGGAAAACTCATCCCAATATGATAGTGAATACATTTCTTCTAAGAGAAATTTGAATGAAAACAAAATA